ATCCACACCCTTCCCTCTTTCCTTTGCCCTGGTTGTGACCCTGGGGACTGATTTTGGCTGCCACCGCTTTCCCACATCGACAGCCACAGCTCATGTCGGGGGCCCTCTCTTCCAAGGCTATAGCTCTTGCCTGGTTCTGGTAATGCACCCTCCTCGCCTTGCCCTTGGTGGCCCTGGGAAGGTGAGTCCCTAAGCAGCTCCCGCCATGCCCTGTCAGCTCCCTCTCTCCTGCCCACATCGGTGTAAACAGCCTCTTCTCGAGGCTTCTTGCTTCCCCTGTTGAGTGCACCATCTGTTTCCTGCCAGGACCTGCCTGATACAGAGTCTAGCCGGTAAACAGAACCCTCTTGAGTGTTCAACACAGAGCACTTTAATGCAGGGAGCTGGTTACTCAGGTAAAGGAATTGCTGAGGAGCCAAACAAGGCACTTGGCAACTCGGAGATGAGCGAGGGGAAAACACACACACACACAAAACAGAGATGGGGGGGGGGGGCATGAAGCAGACACTGAGGAACCGAAGTCAACCAGCCAGAACGGGCACCAGAAGGGGTCTGTCCAGCAAGAGGAAGGACAGGGAGAATAACCCAGGAACAAATAGGTCCAGAACCAGCGAGGGGCTGTGCTACTTTGGACCAGTGGCTAAGCCACTCTGAGCTTTTTTGTGTTCTTAGGTGCAAAAATTGATGATGGTTCATGCTCTACCTGCCTCACGGGGATGCTCTGAGGCAAATCTAAATGACAGAGTATGTCGGAGGGTTTGGTAAACTCTAAGGTGCTATATGAAATAAGGTATCTGTCTGAGTGCCCTGCAGTTTCTGCGCCTGCCGGATTCTAATATGATCACTTTTGTTCCCAGGCGACGGCTTTCAGTGTAATACCTCAACCAAAGAAATGCCTCCGCCAGATCGATTCTCTTAAACTGCCTGGGAGCCTGCTTGCCAGGAAAGGCAATTAAAGTGCAGGCTTGGGAAACGCAATCATCTGTTTGTGATGCCCGGGTCCACTGGCTACCAAATCGGGGGGCCTGCAGGGGGGGGCCAGCTCCTGTCTTCAGCAGCCAGGCTGCATCCTTGAGCATATGTGCCAAGCTCAGGGTGACATGCGGAAAAAGTCTGCCCCCTTAGCGGTCCTCACACCAGGCAGTGTTTAGGGAGGGATAGCAGAGAGCCAGGTGGAAAACAGACACATCTCTGCACAGGATTAGCTTTCATGTCCCCTGGGCTCTCGTGAAGCCAGAAGCCAAGTGTTTGTTCAGCACCTGCTTTCTGAGGACAGTGGAGATTGCCTTCAGTACCTGCCTAATCCTTCCTCCTTCAGCCCATTCGCTTCCCCTTTGGTCTTCTCCCCGGGCGATTCCTTTCTTCCTTTCCCCTTTCTTTGTTTTAATGTCCATCTTCCCCGAGGGATCTGAGGCCAGCCTTTTGAATGGCTGTAGCGACATCCCTCGGCACTGGTTCTGGAATCTGGCTGCCTTTGGAACCAGCTGGGGGGCTTTTGAAAATCCCAATGCCTTGGCCATACCCTAGGCAAATATCAGAATTCCCCGGGGGCGGGGGGACCTAGATAGTGTGATTTTTTTTTTTTTCCGAGTTCCCCCGCGTGAGGCAAATGTGAAGCCAAGGTCGAGAACCACTGTTTGGGGAGGAGAATGTGACCTCATGGCATTGTGAGATTAAAGCCTCGCTCTTCCCGCTGAAGGAAAGTCAGCAGGAGAGCCTGTTGCAGGGCAAAGAATCTCCCTGAATAAGAAGGAGCTTGGAAGGCGATGCATGGTCAGGTCCTTCCAGGGCAGGAGGCCACCCCAGACCGCTGTGCTTCTGGAACAGTTGCCTGCCTCCACGAATACCACCCATGTCAGCGCCAAAGCTGTGTTCTCACAGCTGACCAAGTCTCGTAATGGGGCAAGAAGGGATCCAACTCTTTCTAGACTGTAGAAGTTTTGAGGCACAGGGGTTCATTGGCCTGTTGATATTATCTACCAAAAAAAAAAAAAAAATCCAAGAAGAGAGCGGGCTGCGTGGCCGGGCTCCAGGCTCGGTTAGGGGCGTGTGCGACTCTTAATCCCGGGGTTGTGAGTTCGAGCCCCATGTTGGGTGTGGAGATGACTTAAAAATAAAATCTTGAAAAAAATAAACTAAAATGAGAAGAGGGGGGAAACGAGAGCCTGAGAGGTTAAATGACTTTTACAAGGTGCTACGGTGGACTTCTGGCAGAGCCGGATGGATGCCAGGTTTCCTCTGGGGCAAGCCGACCACGCGGACTTCCATTCCTCTCTCCCAACCCCCCATGCTCACACTTCTGCTGAAATCTGAGCCCCTTGGGAGACATTTCTGAAGGCTTCTTAAAATGATGCTTTTTGTGCTCGGAGCCAGATAAATAACGCGAGACGGTGATAATGATTAGGAAATATTTATGTTTTTTGTGCATGAGGCCTTCACATGCCGATTTGTTTACTTGGCAAATAAAGCCGAGCGTGTGATGTCACTACACGTGGATGAAAAGTTTAAACATTCATCTATGCAAACAAGGGAAAGAAAACATCTCTCTTTGTGAGAAACAAGTAGGATTACGTTAATTTGAATAAGGCTCCCTATTAAACTGTAGCAGGTTGCGTTGGATCATTTTTCAGCGCTTGGGGAAGAGAGAGGACTTTCACTCGGTTGAAAATGATTATGGAAACGTTCTCATCAAAATCACATTCAAATATATATGTATTTATATGTCTTACAGCTTCCAAGCTTTAGGAAGCCTTCAGTTTGAGAAAAAGGCTAATTACTTTTCTTTGTGCGACAGGAATGAGCAGCTAAAGCCATAAAGGTCTTGGAAATGTAGGCCCTGACCTCCAGTTTTGAGATTTGGTCTCTCCTGTGCATGGTGCCCCTTCACCCCAGTAAGACCGGTGGTTCCCGTGGACCCGAGGTGGGAACTTGGGTGCAGCCAAGGGAGAGCCTGGGACACAAAACATAAGGACACGTCATTCTCAGGGCCGAGCCTGCACTTGGGCAATTTTGAGAGAGAGAGAGAGAGAGAGAGATGACGAGTTTTGCTTCCACAGAGTGAAACTGATAGCAGAGAAGAGTGGCTTTAAAGGCCAGGAACTGACGCCCGCCGTACAGAGACAGCTTCATGAAGGAAGGCTTGGCACCCCAAAAACGTGCCGTAAGGAAAAGGGGCAGGAGAGTGAAGAGAGAGCCTCACAACCAAAAGCTCATAGAAGGTTGCCATGGAGGGCTAGAGGGGGATGGTTCTCTAACTGGAGGAAGTGTTGAAATCCCCTGGAGGGCTTACGGCTGCCCCCCCCCCCCATCCCAGAGGGTCTGATGCATTAAGTTCAGATGGAGTCCAATAATTTGCATTTCGAACAAGCTGCCAGGTGATAACTGCTGGTCCAGGGAACACACTTTGGAATGGCTGTTCTAGAGCCATGTCTCTCAAACTAGGGCTCCTGTCTGAGATTCTAAGAATGTCTTGAAATGTACCCAGGATTTGTTTTAATTGGCTATGGTGAGGTGACGGGAGTGAAGGTAACTGTCTTTGAAAGAAGAGTTCACTACTCCTAGTTCCCAAGTGGAGGGGACATGTCACACCATGCCGAGTCACACAGGAAGTGCCAGGGTGGATCAGGAGGCAGAAGGATGGAGGAGAGACAATGGGCAAAAAAGCCTTTATTGTGGTTTTCACAGGAAGGAAGGGACCAGGCCAGGGGAGCATTAAGATTGGCTAGTTTGAATAATTTTAGCGGGCTTTGGGTTATGGGGCGGTTCCCATTTGGATGGTATGTAGCCCTGGGGTGATTTGGGGGGAGGATACTGGTTTGGTGTGTAAGTTTGATAAAGGAGGTGGTTGGTGGTAAGGCCTAGGGATGGGTTGATTTGCATATGAAAGGTGTGTTTGCGGGCAAGCTGTTTACTATCTCCAGGAATTCTGTGAGCCCTGGGAGGGGCAGTCTCTCTAGGATTAGCAAAACCTCAAGCTGTCAAAACACCATAACATACCAAAAATAAAAAAACATGATTCCGACAAAGAAGAATTTTTTGTTCTCTCTTTATTGTAATAGTAATCTTCATTTTGTTGGTGCTGGTTGTAAAAGCAAATCCTTTCCTGCTGATAATCCCCGATTTAAGGATAGTTTCATAAAACGAGAATTTAGTTTATAAAGTCATTGTCTCGACAACTAAGGACAAAGGACACTTGAAAATCCAAAAACATAGTCTTACGGGTCCAAGAGAACTTTCTTTGTAACCATTTAGAAGGGCTCCATACTTAATTCAACTTTGAGACATATTGTGTTGGCGCTCACATTAATCTGCCCCAACACCCTTCTTCAGTTGATGAACAGTAAGCATTAGCTTTTCTTCTATTGTTTTAAAAAAGCTAACCTCTCACAAACAATATACAGTTGACCCTTGCCTTGAACAACGTGGGGGTTAGGGGCGCCAACCCTCCTGTGCAGTCAAAAATCCACGCATAACTTTTGACTCTCCAAAAACTTTACTAATAACCTACTGTTGACAGGAAGCCTTACCAGTAACATAAACAGTTGCTTAACACGTATTTTGCATGTTATATGTATCGTATACTGTATTCTTACAAAAAGTAAGCTAGAGAAAGACATTAAGAAAACCATAAGGGGCGGGCGCCTGGGTGGCTCAGTCGTTAAGCGTCTGCCTTCGGCTCAGGTCATGATCCCAGGGTCTTAGGATCGAGCCCCGCGGTCTTAGGATCGAGCCCCGCATCGGAATCCCTGCTCCGCAAGAAGCCTGCTTCTCCCTCTCCCACTCCCCCTGCTTGTGTTCCCTCTCTCGCTGTGTCTTTCATGTCAAATAAATAAATAAAATCTTAAAAAAAAAAAAAAAAGAGGGAGAAGATAGTAAGGGGGCACCTGGCTGTCTCAGTCGGTAGAGTGAGCGATTCTTGATCTTGGGGTTGTGCGTTCAAGCCCCATGATGGGAGTAGAGATTACTTAAAAAATAAAATCTTTTTAAAAAGGAAAATTATAGTGCTCGCTTCGGCCACACATATACTAAAATTGGAACAATACAGAGAAGATTAGCATGGCCCCTGCGCAAGGATGACACGCAAATTCCTGAAGCGTTCCATATTTTTGAGCGCTGTGAATTGTGTAAGACTGTTGAACCACAGACCTGTACCTCGGGAACAAATCATACATTATATGTTAAAAAAAAAAAAGAAGATAGCAGGAAAGGAAAAATGAAGGGGGGAATCGGAGGGGGAGATGAACCATGAGAGACTATGGACTCTGAGAAACAAACTGAGGGTTCTAGAGGGGAGGGGGGTGGGAGGATGGGTTAGCCTGGTGATGGGTATTAAAGAGGGCACGTTCTGCATGGAGCACTGGGTGTTATATGCAAACAATGAATCATGGAACATTACATCAAAAACTAATGATGTGGGCACCTGGGTGGCTCAGTCGGTTAAGCAACTGCCTTCGGCTCGGGTCATGATCCCAGGGTCCTGGGATCGAGCCCCGCATCGGGCTCCCTGCTCTGCGGGGAGCCTGCTTCTCCCTCTCCCACTCCCCCTGTTTGTGTTCCCTCTCTCGCTGTGTCTCTCTCTGTCAAATAAATAAATAAAATCTTAAAAAAAAAAACTAATGATGTAATGTATGGTGATTAATATAACATAATAAAAAAAATTAAAAAAAGATTTGAACTTTGGAAAAAATAAAAAAGGAAAATTATAAGGAAAATACATTTACAGTATTGTACTGTATATATATAAAAACATATATATATATATAAATCTGTACATAGGTGGACCCACAGAGTTCAAACTCCTTTTGCTCAGGGTCAACTGTATATGGAATCAACAATATAAAAAAGCCATTCTTTTCTCTTTTTATCCACTCACAAAACTTTCCATAAACCCATAAGACTCCGCGCGCGTACGTGCATGCTTATACATAGGGTTTCACTAAAATACTTTGAAATATTATTTTCAGGAATGCTTATGTAGGTCACTCAACTGATTCAAGACTCAATTTCATCTGTGTGTGTGTGGGGGGGGCGGTGGAAGTGTCTTTCCCTGTGTCTCTATGGCAAGACATAGAGAGGGAGAAAAGTCCACTTTCTCAGAGGAGTGTCCGGTACAGTCCGAGGTTAAAAGCAGCATCATTTTCATCAGTCTGATGCACATTGTCACTGCTCAGTGAGCAGGTGGCTGTTTATAAAGTGGCATCTACAATAGCTGCTCAGCATTTGAAGAGTTTTCTGAAAAATCACAGTTCCTTCCAAACTCGATTCGGGTCATTGGAGCTGAGGTTTCAGTGATACTTGAAATCTTTTCTGGGGTGAAGAGGATATAGAATTCCCCAAAAGGACATAATAAAGGGTGGAAATTACTTCTGGTCGGGGTAGAGTTTCCATGAGGGGCTGAAAAAGCCGTAAGTGTGTGCTTAGCTGCCTATAAGGGAAGCCAGCAAAATAGAGCAGCACGTAATGAGACATTTCATGGCCCACAAACTGTCCATTACTAATTTGGATAACTGGGGCACAGAGTTTGTTTTTCCTTATTTTATTTATTTTTGTTTCGCTGAGAATCTATGGCCTGCTGAGGTACATCCACCCGTCTCCCCCGCCCCCCACCCTTAGCAGTCTTTTTTCCAGATTTTCTCCCGTTTCTGCCCTCCCAAACCCTTTATTTCCCTGACCCTTTGCCCATTTATACAGTAGATAAATATTTCATGATCTTGGCTACGTACTTACTAATATTAATAACTTACACGAATAGGGAACAAAGAAGCATGACATCCAGTCTCTGACCTAAAAGAATATGTAAATTAGACTCTTATATTACTAAGCATAGACTCACCTTTTTTAATACCCATGAAGCACGCCTTTCAGAAGGTTGTAATTATTGGTAAAAGCATCACCCGGCAGCTTGCCTGGGGCAACCTGCAAGGTAGAAAAGCCACGAGGGCTGCCTCCAGTGACAGAACATGGAGAAGGAGGTGGGGGGTCGTGGGAGCCCGAGGGTTGCCTTCCCAGAAGGAGGTTTGGGGATCAAGAGCAAAAGCACATAGAATCACTCAGAAACGAAGGAACTATTTTCCTTTGCTCACGGCTGAAAGTGGAATAGAAAATCCAGAAAGAATTTGCAGAGATGGAGTCAGGTATTCCATAGATAGTACAAGGGGTAAAAGAGAAGACAGGAACTTAAATGTGTCGAAAGGGTACAATGTACTAGGCATTTACTAGGTGCTTTGCATACACACCTCATTTCTCCCTTTTAACAATCCTCTGGGCTCGCTATTGCTATCGCCGTTTCCTATTTGAAGAAATAGTCCAAGGCCATCGAGTCCGAAGATGGTGGAGTCAGGATTTGCATCAAGGTATTTCTGAGTGCGGAGACTGCGCTTTTCCGCCACGTCTTCCTGATGACCCAGTTTGAGGTTGATGGGAATGTGCTGTAGGTATTTATATCTGCCTTTCCAGGCGCAGACTGTGCATTTGCATCAGCTTGCATATGATCTTTCGGGAAAGTTTTGTGCGCACACGAATGTTTTATTGTCATTATTATTGTTATGATTCTGAAGGAACGTATCTATAGAATTTCAAATCACGCGTGACTCTTCTTGACATACGCTGTCACGATGATTTCTTTTATGAAAATACTGAATAAGATTTCTCTACACACGCACAGTAGAATAATGCCTAAGCCAAAAAAAGAAAAATGGTGACCTTATTAACCCAGTTCCTTCCACGTAAAATTCCCACAAACTGTCAGCATCCCACAGGATTCCACCCACACCGCAAATCCTAGCGCGATACTTGGAGCAAAGACATTTGTCTCATCTCATGTGGCTGTTGGAAGCACCTTCAGGATAGAGAGCTTTCTTTTCCAGCTCTGTAATTAGATGTAGAGCTGTACGTCTTCTAGTGCATCTGCGGGGAAACTGGAATTTAGGGTTGCAGGACCACACGGGTAATGCGTGCGTTTCACTGGGCGGGCAAAGCCATCTTTGTAAATCACGTGTAATGATTTACAAAAAACGGCACACACACTGCCACCTACTTAAGCTATACCCGTGGCAGTTACCTGAGAAGGATACCGACTCTTTCCTCCCAGCCCAGAAGCAATCTTAGCCTTTCCTGCTGGACACCTATGGACTGGAATGGTCATTGAAGACGAAATCCATTTGCCATCCCCGATCTAAGAACATCCTTTCTGGAAGAGAAAAAAAACACACATGAGTAGGATTCAAAGGTATGCTGCCATTGTCTTTTAGAACCATGCCAAGTCCCATCTCATTGATGAAGCCTTCCTTTAGGACCTCACCCACTCCCGGCCTGTTGCAGCGTCTACTACTTGAAACTTCAATTGGCACTTACCATAGACGGCTTGGGGTTTTGTTTCTTAGATCCATAGGCTTGATTTGTAAACCCCTGACCAGTGGGGACTGCAGCTCATCCTACCTCTCTATTACGCTGTCACAAAGCGTCGTGCTTTGCTTCTGGAAAGTGCTCAGAAGTGTGAGTGATGATGTGAGGATCCTAGTCGGAAGTAGGACTGATGGAAAGGCTAAAATGGCACCAATGGCCCAGCATTGACTCAGTCCACCATTACCGGAGAGCAGCTCAGCGTCCGCTCCCCCTGCTCGTGGATCAGCAGCATTGCTTTGCACAGGGAAGGACAAGTGTTTTTATAGGATGTGTAGTTTTAATTCTAAGTAAACCACAGTCTTAGGGAGGGAGGCCCAGGACCTCTCTATCGGTTGCCTTGTGTTAGAGACTAAGAAGGTCGCCCATGCATGACAGCACCTCTTCAAGACAGCCAGGCTCATAGGGATCCTTCATGGAGCTCTGAGGTGGAAAGAGATTTGTGAAGCTGCTCCTTCTTGGTGACGTGCTCCAAGTGTTCCTCTGCTCTATCAGGGGCAGCCAGAAACCTGAATTAGAGATCTTAGCTGTTGGACCCCCTGCCCAGGGTGAAGTGGCCTCCCCTCTCCATCTCTCCCTGAGGCCTCTTAGTGATCCTCTGTCATCTTGGCTCTCTGCCCTGACATAGTCGTACAGAGAGTTTTCCTTTGGGTACTTCCTCAGGTCTTAGCCTGTGATTAGCAGTTTTAGGTAAGAGCTCATTCTGCCAAGTATCTTGGGCAATAAAAAGAGGCATATTTATCATATATACACCATATATATCACATATCTTATATATGTATCTGTGCACATTTATTCAAGTAACATTTTGTTACTTGATAATCTTTATACACAGCAATCCTTACTCATGTAATATCCCCACAGCAGATGTAGGGTCATTTCAAAGTTCTGTAAGGGACAAGAAGGACCTCTAATAAGTACAAATAAGTGGTTCTGGAAATCCTTGTCCACCTTATGTAACATGTTTATTTTTTTACTGGAACAAAATTTTAAGTACAGGCAAAGTACAGAAAATAATATAACAAGTAATTAAGTATGCAGAACACATAATTGAATTTTGTCATTTGTTTCAGATTTTTTGTAAATACAAGAACAAAATTGCAGAGAGTTGATTTCTTTGTGTTCTTTCTCCTGTGTCATTTACCTTTCTCCTTTCACTATTCTGAATTTGGTATCTTAGTATCTTTCCAGTCTGTGTTCTTATAACTTATAGCATGAATATGCACGAAACATACAATTATATATATATATAAGACTTACATATAAGTCTGTGTTCTTATAGCTTATAGCATGAATATGCACAAAACATACAATTATATATAATTGTATATATATTATGTATATATAAACATACATGCATATTCATACATGTATTTACATACATGGTGTCATACCATTCACATAATTGTACAATTTGCTCTTTTATTTCAACATATCTCAGTATATTTTTGGAGGAGGGTCCATTCCTTTATAACAACCATATACTTCATCATATGAATATATCTCATTTTGATAAACATTAAGTTGTCACTAGTTTTTGCCACGACAATAATCCTGCACAGCACATGTCTCCTTGATCACAAGTGAAAGTTTCTCTGGGATCCATATCTTAAAGTGGAATTGCTAGGTATGTATATTTTCAACTTTACTAGTCATGCCTAATTGCATTTGCTCCAATTTATACTTTCATTAGCAGTGTTTGAGTGT